TAAGAATAAATTCTAGGAAGAATGGAGGTTAAGAAGAGAAGATACTTATTGGGGGGAAGAAAGCTATATTCATTGGGGAGATAAAAGCATCTATCTCAGAGAAACAGAAGGGGTCCTGAGTAGGTTGCTGAGCCCACTTCCCAAAGAGTCTTATAAGCAAAACCACAACATGAGGTGGGTATACCCATGAGGAGGGCCAAACCATAATCAACTAATAAGATTACAAGTATAGTCGCTTAGACAACACTGATCCAGTGGGAAATCACAAGGTGAGTATGAAGTGGGACAAAACCATGGTCAACCAATAAGATTATGAGTATAATTGCTTAAGAAATATTGATTAAACAGGAATCAAATGGGGAAGCAAGTCACGTAGAAAGCGTATATAAACTGAACAAGGATTTTTCCTGAAAGGGAAGTTTTGGTCCCCCATCCAAGATGATCCATATCTAAGTAGAATGTCAGCCACTGTTGTTCATCTCTAGAAGAATGTAGGTGCAGTCATGCCGTGTTTTAGCTTGGCCTTTAAGGGATGCACTTCTGCCCACGTTGTAATGTATCTGTATTGACTCTTTTGAGCGCCTGCCTAGCCCTGCCTGCCTGCCTGCCTATAATATTTCCACCTAACTTAGCTGTGTATAATACCAGTAGCTCCAGTCCTGCTAACGTGCAACCTAGTAGCTACAGTGGGAGCTCTGTTGGGGCTATGAGCATAAGTCATTAAGGTCCAGGGGACCAATCCTGGAGGTCAGTGTTCCCACATCTGCCCGGCTACCCACAGAAGAAATGCAGAATGCCGCACCACAGGCACAGCCAAGGGACACGATGTTCCCATAATCCAAATTTGTGTTGAGTTTGGAGATTTGGGAGATAAAAGCAGCAGGCTCCCTAAACCGTTCCAGATGTATGTCCTGGTGGTCATGTTCCTCCAGCGGCGGCTCAGAAAGACAGAGGCAACACCTGACAACACCGCTCAGAGGAGAGGCGCATCTTGGTTTTCAACTAAGATACTAAACTATGGCTCCTAGCAACCTAGAGGGCAGTAATAGGAAGATATTGAAGTGATTCCTCCCAGGTCACTCTTTGAGATATGAGGGAGAACAAGGCTGTCAGTGAGATCATGCCCCCATCGACTGTCAAAGGGAGAGGAAAGGCTTGGACCTCATTTTTCTTTTTTAATCTTAGCAAGATGCAGTCTTCCAAATGACACAGAGGGAAAGTGCCAGTGAAATCCTGGCTCAAAGAAAAACTGCATTTTGAAAGATGAGATTTATTTACTTCACAGGATCTGCACTCTTCTGGAAAATCAGTGTTTTAGTCTAGTAATGGTGAACGTTTTAGAGCTTTCCATGATAACAAACAGCCGGCTGCAGCGTGAATGGCATGGGTTCGCCACCACTGCGCTAGTCACTTTCTCATTGCTGGGACAAAATACGGGACACTCACAACTCAAGTGAGGAGAGATTTATCTTGGCTCAAAGTGTTAAAGGATTCAGTTTAGAGTCTGCTGGATCAAAGACCAGAAGGGCATGGGGAAGGGCTGGTGGATGAAAGCTGCTCATATCATGGTGACCAGGAAGCAAAGAACGAAGGGAGGAATCAAGGAGGGAATTATTCCCTCCCAGCTCATGCCCCACAGTGACCCACCTCTTCCTATCACCCCTTACCTCCCACAGCACATTTAGCTATGGCCTCTTCAATAGATTAATCCACTGATGAGTACAGCGCCTCCACAATCCAACCACCTTTCAAAAACCCAACCTCTGAACACATGAGACTTTTAGAGGACATTTGAGATCCTCAACGTCAAAAATCTGCAGAGCCTTAATGAGGGCTTTCAGCAAACACAGTGTCCTCAAACAAGATTATTAGGCAAGACAACTAACAGGAAGTCAAGAAGCAAAATCCCCCTCCCTCCAAGAAAATAATCAAAATCCAAGACCTGGAAAAAAAAAAACTGGAATTCACAGTCCATTCTCAACAAGAATACACAGGCACTGTCCTTCCTGGCACAAGAGTTCTTGCCACACAGAAACTAGGAATTTCCAGCTCAGAGCACATTTTAAGATAAAAACAGCAAGAGAAAGAGACAAACGCAATAACTACTGCCCATCAAAGTGGCTCTGAGCAGCAGAATCATCAGACATGCTGAAGATGCCCTCCACCCCCACAAGAGTTCTAGCCAACCCCTTGCAGCAGGGGGCGTCTCACCCAGGACCACCACCAGCCTCTCCCTCTTCCCCATCAAGTCTGGCAGCTCCAACACCACGTGAGGGCTCCATGGGGCCAACACCTCCTGTCTGCTATGGCAGTGGGCTCACCAATGGGTACGAGAGGCCCTTCTAAAGAGCTAGACACTACAGGCTACCTGTTGTTTCCATGATTTCTATGATCACCCCAAGGTCAAGACGACTATCCAGGGAGACAGCACTCTGACTAGGAAGACTGCCTGTGCTTTCCCTTCTTTCCACCTGCTGCTCCTTCTTGAGAAAGTACAATCTGTGCTATCCTACATAAGAACTTCTATTTGCCCAGATTATATACAGATCACAATCTGAAGGTTGGTCAGTATAAAATCTAGTGTATACGCATTGTTCTAAGTTTTCAAATCGCATTATTTGAATCACTATCCTTATGCTTTTGGTTCTATCTATTGGCTACTGTAAGAGATAAATTTGTCTTATTTTTAATTTTTCCTTATGTATTTTGAGGCTACATTGGTAAATGCATTTAAAATAATTTTTTTTCAGTGCTGAGGATCACACTCACACATCAGGCATGGCAGGTAAGTGCTCAACCCTATCCCTGAATAGAGTTCTTGTATCTTCTAGGTAATAATTTATCAAGTATTCACTTTTATCTCAAGTATTGTTTTATTGTATATGTTATCTAATATAATACACACATTGTTGGCTTTCTCTATTGTATACATGAATTATCTTTTTCTTTCTTTTTTTTTAATCAGGGATCAAACTCACACCTTGGACTTGCCATGCAGGTGCTTATGCCACTGAGCTAAATCACCGGCCTCAGTGATACAGGGGAATGAAACTCCCAACCTACTATGTCCACGAGTTCCTGTTCTCTAAAAATCAAAGAATGAATTTTAGGAAGAATGGAGGAAAAAAGTAGAATATATTTACAAAGAGACAGAAGGGATCCTGAGCGGGTTGCCCAGGACTCTGTCTTTTCTAGGGACTTTTATAGAGTAAAACCATGGGTTTAAGGTGGGGGAAGACTGGGAACTCATGAGGCAGATGATCATAAGGTGGGACATAACTATAGTTAGCCAATAAGATTAATAGTTCAGGTAAAATTGATTACATTAGGAACAAATGGGGAAGCGAGTCACATAGAAAGCTAGCATTCTTACAGAGCTGTGACTCTTTCCTAGGGGGATGGGAATTATTTAGGGTGACAATCCCAGGATATGGGTGCATTTGTATGGTCTTTTGTCTTGAGGCCTGGCCCACAGCAGGAGGGGTCAGCTTCCGGCAGCTGCCAGGTGTCTGCACTGGCTCCATTGAGGACCTAGCCCTATCTCACTGCCTATAATATTTCTGACTAACTCAGCTGCCTGCAACATCAGGTACCTTTTTCTATTCTTTATTGGCAGACTTTTCCATACATTTATGTTTTACTGTTTCTTTTAAATACATATAGCTAATTTTTAATCTAGTCATATAACCTTTAGAAATTAATAGGAATATTTAATTCCTTTACATTTAATATAATTACTGACATATATGTGGATTTATATCTAACATATTAGTAAGGTTTTTTGTACTGCTGGTTTAATTTTTTTTTGTTTCTTCTCTTCTTTTGCACTGATTTATTATTAGTGGAATACTTTCCCTCTATTGGTTTGGAAGCTGCACACTGTTTAATATTGTTTTAGTAATTAACTTAGAAAGTACAGTGCTGCTCCTTGACTTCTGCTACTGTTAATTGGGACTTTGGCTTTCTGTACAGAAAGTTTAGAATTTCTTTACCACTGAAAATTATCCTTCCAGTCACATGAGGTGGCCACATCTGTAATCCCAGCACTCAGGAGACTGAGTGGATCTCTGAGTTCTAGGGTAGCCTGGGCTACAGTGAGTTAAAGGCAAGTTTGTACTACAGAGAGACCCTATCTTAAAAACAGCAATAACAAAAAAAGTTTGAAACTGATTACCCTTCCAATTTACAGCGCCTCCATTTTCAATTTCAATACTCTCAGGTGGGAGCACTGGGTCACATGGTGACACTAGCTTAGCATTTTAAAGACTGCCAAACTGTTTTTCAAAGTGGCCCCATGGTTTTAGAATACTGGCTCACAATACTAGAGGATTCCAGCTCCTCCACGTCCTGTCTAACACACTGTTCCTGTCTTTTTATTCCAGCCATCCCAGCAGGTTCTAAGTGTTATCTCCCTGTGGATTTGACTTGCATTTCCCTAGGAACAGATGGTGCTGAACATCGTACCTTTTCATGTGCTTATTGGCCACTTGTATATCTTTGGAGAAATGTCTGTTCACTCAAATCCTTTTCATTTTTAAATAAACTGGGTTGAATTTTTATTGTCAAGTTGTAAGAGTCCTTTATATATTATGGATACAAGTCCCTTAGAAGCAAATACTTTTTTCCTAACCTGCAGGTTATCTTTTCTGCTTTCTTGTGGTGTCCTTGAAAGCACACATTTTTATTTTTAAGAACCTTGAATTATTTTTGAAAAAAAAAAAAAATATTTCAGGTGGAGTTGAAGCCCTCTTTCTGTTCTTTTATGATCCAGTGTTTCTCTTTCCCTCCACAGATTGCCATCATTTTGGATACACTTTTATAACCCCCAAGATTTTTTGTTTTTTAAATTGTTTAAAATATATTTAAAAATTTAGCATCTAAACATTCGAAGTGTACAGTTCAATGACAGTAAGTATGTTCAACATGCTCCGTCATGGCCACCAGAATATACCAAACAGAGCCATAAGTAATCTGTCACAATGTCTTTGTTACTTGAAAGAAATGGATACATATCCGGGCTGTCTTGATGTCTGCTTTGCTATTTTATTAATTATGAAGGTCACATCCCAAAAGTTGCCTTGAAATCAGTGGTACAAAAGTAACAAAAACCCTAAGACCTAAAATAAAAACCCAGAGGTCAGGCTGGAAGTGCCAGGCACGGGGGACCAGCCCTAGGGCTGAGGCTCAGGAGGTGGCAGGGGCTGAAGCTGTGCAGCACCCCGAGGTCACACAAGGCTTCTCTGGGTCTTCAAAGGCAAGGCCACGGAGGTGACCTTCAGTATAAGAGCCGGTAAACTGTGGCACTTCTTTTGGAGCCTGTGACCAGATATTGGTTATCAGAGGACACATCACAACAGAAGATCTCTGAAGACTCCTCTTCCTAGAGGGAAAGGGATCAAATGAGAGATGACACGCAGGGCAGAGGCTTGAGGCAGCCATGGGCACTTCATTTAGGACTGTTTCAGTGTTTGCATGAAAACTGGGCCAAGTCCCGAGGTCTGAGATGGAGCCCACAAGTCGCGGAATCTTAAATCCTCAGCACCCATACTCTATGACATGCCCTCAACAAGCTGGCCTTGAACTCCCAGTGATCCTCCTGCCTCAGCCTCTCAAGGGCTGGGGTTACAGGTGTGCGCCACCTCACTCGGCCCTCAAATTTAAAAAAAAAAAAAAAAAAAAAAAAAAAACCTTTTTTTTTTAAAAGGAGTTGAAGACAGTGTGAAGGCCATGGGTTTCATTCCTAATTCTAGAAAAACATGGTACTTTTCAGCCCTCTCTGGGATCCATCAACTGGGTGTGAGGCTGCGCACTCTGAGAGTCTGGGTGTGTGCATCCTTCCTTCCCATACCTGGAGCAACCTTTGCAGAGAAGGTGCTGCTAAGCATTGGATCGTCTCATCCACTGTGCTCACAAAGTAGCTCCCTGGCAAAGGAAAGAACATGTGAAGGGGCAAGGGACCCAGCCTGGCTGCCAGCTCCAGCTCTGTCCTCAACAACACCAGAGAGAGGATAACTCTTTCCCTGCCTCGGCTTAACTCCCTATGAAAATCAGACACACGATCTGAGCCATGCCTGACTGCCCCACCCTCCTACCACACACAGGACCGTGGTATCACTGGGTATCACTGAGTCACAGGCCCACAGATGGGGCTCGGTGCTACCTGTCACTCTGCGCAGGAAGCTCCTCTTATAGAGGGAGCCAGGAAAGGAAAAGGAGGCAAGCGGAGAAAGACAGGAAGGGAGTTCAAAACAATGCCCGAAGGAGTCACCTGGCTCCTCACTCACCACAGGAAGCAAACTTGAGGTTGTGGAAGTTGCAGTATCTCTGGATGGGAACCTTGAACTTCTCCATGCGATGAGTGTGTAGGATTACGACATTACTGTTCCTTAAGCCCATTAACAGCCACTCCTCAGTGGGATCATGAGTGATACTGAGGATCTATTTGGAGAAGGCCTGGGCTTAGCATTCAAAGTCACCAGTAGCATCATTCATGCCAGCATCCTCCACTCAGACCCACCACCACCTGAATCAGAACCCCACTGGGCACACTATGCCTGGATGGACATAGTCAGGCACCTCATTCTGCAGGCTGTACTCATGCAGCCTTTGGTTGCTCCTCAGGTCCCAGGAGTACAGGGTGGTGTCTTCACCTCCAGTCCAGAACTTATTGCCTGCGATGTCAACACAGCGGGACCCATAGGAAGGGACCTCGTGTTTCCTGGTGGGAAAACAGCTCAGAGATTCATAGACAGCTTTGGGGGCCTCCTGGAAAACTGAAGGTTAGGAAGCCCCAGATAGATCTTCCATGATGCCCTACTGCAAAGAGAAGCAGAGGTCTGAGGGTGAAGCCTTCTCCCGGTCACACGAGGAGCTCTGGAGAGAGGACACACCTGATCAAGATTTGGTTCTGCAAGTCCCAGATCTCCACAAATCCTTTGAAACAAGCCACGCAGATATGGGCATCAGCGGAGATGGCCAGGGAATAGCACAGGGTGCCTGTAGAAGCCAGCTGTGTACGGACCCGGGGTGTGGGCACCAAGTCCCAGAGAGTCAGGGTCTGGGCTCTGCCCCCTGTGATCAGGCTCTGCTCATCAGGAAACAGCTTACAGGTGAGGACACAGTGGTGAGGGTCCTGCAGGAACAGAGCACACTCTTGTGTCACCTGGTAGCACTGGCAACAGGGGCCTTATCTTGGTTCCCAAGCCATGCTTGAATGCCCCTCACCTGAAAGTCCAGCTGAGCCAGAGGGGTCGTGTCCAGGGCCTGCACAGCACTCTCATCCCACACCCTAATGTAGCCAGAGCCACATGTGTACATGTGGTGTGTTAAACCACTGATGGCAATGGCAGAGACTTTCTTTCCATGGTGGAGTGTGCCAACACTCCAGGCAGCCCGTGGGGTCCTCTGGCAGACCACTGCTTTATCTAGAATGGGAGGCTGGGAGAAGACAAGTCAGGTGGCTGTGAATAAGGTGGCGTGACCCTGAGCTACTATGTGCATGAGCGTAACCTGGTCCTATCCATCCAACCATCCATCCAACAGCACGGCCTGGGGCCGAGTTCCCTAGGTCACATTACTTGAGGATGTGACACCAAGAGCTGCAGGCCCTACTGAGCAGGACAGTGAGAGGACAGCAACCCTGTTCAGGACAGCACCCTGTGAGAGGGAACGTGAATACAGACACAGCTTCTAGATTAGGGGCAGGTGGAGAATGAAGACTCCCAAGTGTTAACCAACAAGTGGAACAGTGAGATACTTACAGTTGCTCTGAGAAGTGACCAGGCTTCACTGAGGGGAGAGAACGAAGAGCAGGGCTGGCCTGCAGGGAGAGAGCAGCACCCCCCATTCAAAGTGAGGGTGTCGGCAGCAAGAGTTTTCAGGGAGACTTGACCCCAGACCCTGTTTCCTCTCCCCCATCTGGGGCCACCATCCCTCCCTGCCCACGCCGTCATGGCCAGCACTTACCGAGCACAGGTCCTGGTGGGAGGCTGTGGCAGATGGAGAGGCAAGGAGGAGGGGCCAAAGCATGAAATCCAGAGCTGCGTGCTGGGATCCCCTCGCCCCAGGACAGGGGGCTTCCCCACCCAGGCTTGTCCAAGACAGACCTACCTTGGGCCAGCCTGGACCACTTTACCCATCGCCCCTTCTGAAAACCACGTGGCCTGGAGCTCAGAGGTATCTAGGGCCCAGAAGTGCTGCTGCTCTGGAGTCATAGTCCTCAGCTCTTGGTAAACAGGGCCCAGCTGCGATGTTAGGGGATGTGGGAGCACCTGGGATGGTCCGTGATGACTGCCCAGGATGTCCTGCATTGGTTGCTCGTGCTGAGAAGAAATACCAGAGCTTTCCGGCATATCTCCTTTCTCTTCTTGTTCATCGTAAATCCTGAGTATCCTGAAAAAGTCCTCCTCCTTCTCTCTACTCATATCCTTGGTCACTGAAGTACTGAACCACCTGCTTCAAGGGCTTGAGAGAAGACCAGCCAAATGGGTCCCAGGTTCTTAGTTTGTCCTGATCCCCTGTAGCATGAAAGAGAACACAGGTAAAAACGTGCATGTGCTGGATGGTGTCTGTTTACAAGGCTCTAAGAATGACTGCTTTTGCACAAGGCCTTAAAAGGTTGGTTGACAACTGACTTTTAAAATGTCAGCAGCAGCTAGCATGGTGGTGCACATCTGCAATCCCAGTACTTGGAGGCTTAGCAGGATTGTTGCAACATAGTGATTCAAGGCCAGCCTGGACTACATAGGAAGACCCTGTCTGAAAAAAACAAGCAAGCAAACAAAGGCTGGGAATAATATCTCAGTGCAAAGGCCATAAATTCAATCCTCAGTATCACAAGAGAAAGATGTTGGCAGAGACAGAGTTAAAAGTAAAGAATTTGAAAAAGCATCTTGAGACTGAATACAAAGTATATTTTCCTTTTAAACGCATTCGTGGCATTTCTGGTAATATAAGATAAAAAACTGCAAATATATTTTACAAAAATACACAATTTTTGTGTAAAAGCAACATGGAAATTAGAACTTATTTTCATCTATGCGTGTACACATAAAAGGAATTAGGAAGGGTAGTTGCTCTGGGGGAATGGAAATTGGTAAATAGGAAAGAATATCGGGGTTGGGGAGGGGGGAAATCAGTGGCTATTTTGACCTAGGTTAAAAATTGTTGGACCTGGGGGCTGGGGATTTAGCTTAGTGGCATAAGCGCCTGCCTTGCAAGCAGGCAGTCGTGAGTTCGATCCCTGGTACCGATAAAAAGACAAAAAAAAAAAATTATTGGACCTGAAGCCTCTTTATTGGTCAACTGATCTTTCATCTTCCTCCAAATGACAATCTGTATGATTCTTGGTTGGTTGTTTAATAATTGAACAAGCTCTTCCTGAGATAGAGCAGGCCACTATTAATTGGCAGGATGGGGAGCACAGGCACTCCCAACTTAGGGTGATGAAACCCAGATAAGTGATGGATCCACTACCCAGGCTCCCTTTGAGAAACTGGGGAAAGCAAAAGGCAGTGAAGAGCTATCTAGCCCCAACTTTGATTAACCAGAACTTCATCCTATTAAGACAAGTTTTTCTAGAAAGAAAGAAGAAGCAGTATCACCAACCCTCTTCCCCTTCCAGAGTTGAGAATTCAGACTCCTCCCCTTACCATACCATCTCTGTATGTAAAGCCTCAACACAAAATCCTGGGACTTGGCTGGCCAGGAAGCTAAGTACCCACAAATCTCCACAGCAGGAAACTCACCTCTGGAGGCAGAAGGTCAGATTCAACAGACAGGAAAGAAGTCAGCAGAGTCAAGACTCAGCCAGGCCTAGGGATTCCTCCCTGACCCTAGATCCTCCTGCCTGCATTGCTGCTATTTATAAACATCAAAACCTGGGTCAGGTGTTTTAGGCCCGTGAATGACTGGTCAATCTCCAGGGCATGGTCACAACTATGCTGAGCTCCTACTGGACCAACATTTCCATTAATGTTGAGTCTTTAGGTGGGCAGCAAGGTAGGGTCAAGTAAGTTCACGGCAGGGAACAAACGCAAGCAGACAGCTGGGGAGATTGGGTTCCTGCTGACCCACAAAAGCCAGTGTTTGAGCAAAAATAAGCTCTTCAGGTGAATCCCTTTTGCTCCTGAAGGCTGAATTTGGGCTGAAGCCAATAATGGGTGGTGGAGGAGGGGCCAGCACTCTCCCTTCCTTCCCCACCACTGGCCTGAACATGCCTGACTCTGTGCCAGTCATCCTTAAACAGGATCTTTGAAAGTGAGGACCGGGGGGGCTGGGGATTTAGCTCAGCGGCATAAATACCTGCCTTGCAAGCAGGCGGTCCTGAGTTCGATCCCTGGTACCGATAAAAATGAAAAAGACCAAAAAAAGAAAAAAAAAGAAAGTGAGGACCGGAAAGCCCTGTACCCCTGTGTCTGTATCATCCAGTAGCTCTTCACATGAGCACACATCAAAATCCCCAGATTTTGTTGTTCAAACTAAGTGCCCACCTCTATCATTTTGGCTCAGAAAGTCTATCAGTAACATCTCGAGATGTTTTATTTTTAACAAACTGAATGGCAGTGGTGGTGGTGATGGAGGAGGAGGTGATGGCCTTGGTGGTGGTGATGATGGAGGAGGAGACAATGGTGGTGCTGGTGATTGAGGAAGAGATGATGGCGGTGACGGTGATTGAAGAGATGAAGGTTGGTGGTGGCAGAGGAGATGATGGGGTGGTTATGATGGAGGGGTGGATGGAGTAGGAGATGATGGGGTTATGGTGGTAGTGGTAGTGGCACTGGTGGTGCTGCTGGCCTGGGCACAACACCTGAGGAGCTCTGCACAAGCCTCAGGTTGGGGGACCCTTTCCATAGGATGGGGAGGTGGATGGACAGTGGAGCCAGGCACCTCTCTTACTGTGCTCCCCTCATCAGCCTCTCTCCTCTGGTTTCACTCACTCACTGGCTTCCTTCTTTCGAAGCAGAAGTCCTGAAATAGCTGTTACTTATAAATCTTTCACCTCCAGTCTCCAAAGTTCTGGTCTGTCGCTGTCCCACCCTTCACATTTGCACCCCTCGTCCCCAGGGATTTTGTGGCTACCTACTGCCTTGGAGAAAAAATTCAGACTCCTTAGTGTGGTATTTAAGATTCAACTCCATCCTTTCTTCCTGCTTTGCTCTGTCTCTGCACACCTGACTCACTGTATATTTAACTGAGCATTTCCCACCTCAGGCTCTGCTCATGCTCTTCCCTCGCCCAGAAATGCTGTTCCTCACCCTCACATGTCAAACAGATGCTCTGTGAGCCAGGCCTGGATGAGGATCCAGGGATTAGAGATCAGACCAGGCTCAAGTCTGTAAGCAGCTCCAACCTGAGAGAAGGAGCTCCAGGAGCCAGGTCCAGGGAGCAAGCCTCGATGCACACCTAGATCCTCATCCAAATACGTGATTCGTTCCAGGTGAGTTCTCTTTTTTTATTCTCATAGGAAACACAACAGTGAGCCATACAGGGCTCGGCTTTATTCCCAGCTTGCACACATGAGCTATAATGGCAGGGATCTGAACCTCGGAGGTTCTTATCTGAGAAGTCACTAAATGGCCAGAAGAACTAGAATACCAATCAAAGGCTTGTGGCTTTTAAAAATGTGTTTAAAAATGTGAATCATAGGAGTTCTTTATATTCAAATGGGAAGAGGAGGAAGGAAGGAGGAAGAGAAAGGAAAAAAGAAAAAAGGAAAATAGAAACAAAGCTTTTATAAATAAGAGAGGAAGAAGGGGAGGGGAATGGAAAAAAGAATCAGCATGTATTATACACGGATACAAATTTCCTATGATGAATGTGATCATTATGTATGCCAAAAATATACCAGTAAGATTAATTTAAATAAAAGATCTAGGACTGGCAATATCTAGAAAAGATTTTGGGGAAAGAGAGGGCCAGGACGGAAGCCTGGTGCACCTCAGGAAGCAGGACACATGTGGATGAGGAGTCCAGGCCTGCTGCTCCCAAGCATTTGATGAGCTTTGACAGGCTACCAGCCTATGCCTCGTCTGTAAAGGGAGCTGACATATTATAGGGGCACAGTTAGAGAATAGCAAACTTACAAACGTTTTATAGCAAAAGTTAAAAATCAATTAATGGCCTGTGACTATGTTCCTGCTGCTTGTCAGGTAGTCAGCCTGCTAAGTTCAGTGAGCCTTGACTGTCTGCATCCAGCTGTGTCTCCCTGATAATATGCATATATATATATATATAATACTTTGTATATATAAAATATTATATATATAATATTATATATAACATTTATATATAATATTATATATATCCAGTATAATATAATATATACTGGACCATCAGGGGCTGAGAACTCAACTGGGACATTTGAAGAACAGAATACTATAATATCTAAATATAGTATATATATATATAGTTTCAACTTACTTCAAGAACTTCATCTTGGGACAGACTGGCCCAGTCAAGGACACGTATAACTGTCCTTGCTCCACTCATACCCCCTGTCTCTATCCCCAGGACATTCCTACTTTAGGGAAAACAATTCCTGTTAAGTAAAGAATTCCTTTTAAGTGAATCTATTTAGGATTAGCTTGCCTGACAATATGTGGCTTCGTTCATAGAACCCTCATGTAATAACCTGCCACCAGTCTCATACTTCCTGCTGATAAACTGTATTTAAACTGCACTTAAGCGGACACATGGCTGGTGATTTGGACTCTGATATGGTTCCCCAACTCAGCGTTAGACCAACAAATATCCATCCTCCCTACACCTGCAGTCAGAGACAGAGCGACGCAAGGGCTGTGATGATGCGGATGTGAAGTGAATATTTATTAAAGGTCAGCCATTCATAGGGGCATCAGGAGAAAAAGAAAGGGGGAAGAAGCTAGGGAGGGCCCTGTGGTCACTGATGCAGTCCTGGAGGACAGGGTTTTTAGAGTCTGATCGTCCTGTGGCGTATTATCTGAACTAACAGCGCCCCACTCTTGTAGCTACCTCCGGGGGTAAGTTTACAGAGAAGGAAACTGAGGTACAAAGAGCTAAAGTCCTCAGCCATAAAGAAGGACAAACTTGAGTCATTTGTGGGAAAATGGATGCACTTCAAACCATAATGTTAAGTGAAACAAATCAGGCACACAGGCTCACTCATTGCATTGCATCTCTTAGGAAGAAACCCAAAGTATAAATAAACAAAAAGCAAAATAAAAGCTAATGGGACGCGGAGACAGAACTTTTGCAAAAGGAAAGGAGACCAAGAGGAAGATTTGAAAAAGAATTAAGTTGTGTTACGTACAATGTACTAACTTCCTACAATGAAGCTAATAATTACATATTGCAAACATGTACCAGTAAAAAATACACAGAAAATGTATTTTTAAACAGAGCTGAAATCATTTGCTCAGTCACACAGCTCGAAGAGCTGGAGTTTGAGCCTGAGCCTGCCCAACCCCACCTGGCCCCAGGGCTGCAGGGAGATGGGGAGGCAGAGCAACCTGGGTGGCATGTTTCTGTGTACCCTTGGGCCAGACAGTAGATTGCCAAGAACTGGACCATCAGGGGCTGAGAACTCAACTGGGACATTTGAAGAACAGAAAAAATGGGAACAGCCAGAGGAATGCCAGAGGTCTCAAACGGAGGGGCAAGTTAACGTCACCTGAGTGCTTTAAAAAAAACAACAGCTGGACGGAGACAGTCTTCCTGTTGTCTCTCAGGCATATCTGTGGATGAAAGGACCCAAGCTGTGCCATGTTGAAATTCAGGTAGGAAGGGCCACTGCTGGGATCCTTGTGACCAGAATCTGTTTGAATCAGGTCAGAGCTGCTTTGGGACAGAGAAATCAGCCCCCAAGGTAGACACCAAATACATCTGTGTGTCCTCAACTACCTGTTTCCACCCATCCACCCAGGGGTTGGTGAGCAAGGTCACACTGAGCCTAGTTATGCTCACGGCTGTATCTACAGGCCTGGCCATGACCTTTGTGGGTTTCGGTCTTTGGAGGCAAACTGACCATTGCACTGGCTGTTCCAGAATGAGAAGGGACACAGTTTGGGAGGGGACTCTCAGGAGGACATAGGAGCACACAGAAAGGTACATCCTACAGAAGGTCAGAGGGAGCGGGTGAGGTCTGAGACACAAGAGTAGGCGGGTCCACAGAATGTGGAGAATACTGGGGAGTATTCTGGGCAGACATGTGGGGGAGTACAAGGACGTAAGGAAGGATCTGTGGGTAGTGGGGAGAGTTTCCAGGGCCTGAAGGGTGTGGTGTGGGGACCCGAAGGGCAGGAACTATGTTCTCTCCTGGGGACAGTTGGGAACACAGGAGTCTGAGCAGACTCGAGTTTTGGAAGGAGGGCTCAGCCCCCTCTTCATCGAGCAGCTTGAGGAGGCTGGGGGCCAGTTAAAGGAAACAGTGCTCAACACTGCTAGTCATATGGGAAGTCCAAATCAAAACCACAATGAGATTCCAGAACATAGCACCCAATGGGGTGAGTACGAAGGAATTAGAATCCTCATACATTGTAGGTAAGAGTGTGAAATGGTACAGCCACTGTGGAAAAGAGTTCAGGGGTCCCTCAAAAATCTAATCATAGACTTGCTATTAGACCCAGTAATTGCTCTCTTAAGTAGATACCACAAGAATTGAAAACAGGCCCTCAGATTCTTGTACACTGATCTCAGTACCAGCTTCAGTCACAATAGCCAAAAGGTAGACAAACCCAAGTGTCCATCATTGTTTAGATAAACAAAATGTGGTATACCCATTACATGGAATATTACTCAGCCACAAAAAGGAATTAACTTTTGATATACACTATAAAAGAAATGAACCTTGAGAAAAGTGGGCTAAGTGAAAGAAGACAGACATAAAAGTGCACATACTATATGACTCTTATCTATAGGAAATATCCTAAAAAGGCCAATCTATAAATACAGAAAGCAGATTAGTGGATGCCAGGGAATGAGAATGAGAACAAGGTGGGGGACTGTCTGTTCAGTGGGTGTGTGTATGACTCCATTCCTTTGGAGGTAAGAAAAAGTTCTGAAACTAGATAACGGTGATAGTCAATCAAC